ATCACATTAAAAAAATTATTTAAAATGGATTAAAGAATCAGGAGAACAAATACTGTTAAAAAGTCCATACTATTGGGGCACCTGGGTGGCTCAGTGGGTTAAGCCTCTGCCTTCGGCTCGGGTCATGATCTCAGGGTCCTGGGATCGAGCCCCGCATCAGGCTCCCTGCTAAGCAGGGAGCCTGCTTCCCTTCCTCTCTCTCTCTCTGCCTGCCTCTCTGCCTACTCATGATCTCTGTCAAATAAATAAATAAAATCTTAAAAAAAAAAAAAAAGTCCATACTACCTATAGCGATCTATAGATTTAATGGAATCCCTACCAAAATATCAACAGCATTTTTCACAGAACTAGAACAAATAATCCTTAAGTTTGTATGGAACCACAAAAGACCTTGAATAGCCAAAGCCATCTTGGGGAAAAAAAAAAAAAGAAAGAACAAAACTAGAGATATCTTAAACCCAGATTTCAAGATATACTACACAAAGAGACAGTAATCAAAACAGTATGGTAGGGGCGCCTGGGTGGCTCAGTGGGTTAAGCCACTGCCTTCGGCTCAGGTCGTGATCTCAGAGTCCTGGGATCGAGCCCCGCATCGGGCTCTCTGCTTGGCAGGGAGCCTGCTTCCTCCTCTCTATCTCTGCCTGCCTCTCTGCCTGCTTGTGATCTCTCTGTCAAATAAATAAATAAAATCTTTAAAAACAAAAAACAAAAAACAGTATGGTATTGGCAAGAAAAAAAAAATAGACCCATAGATCAGTGGAACAGAATAGACAGCCCAGAAATAAATTCATGATTATCTGGTTGATTAATCTATGACAAAGGAGACAAGAATATGCAATGGCAGAAAGACAACCTCTTCAACAAATGGTGCTGGGAAAACTGGACAGCTACATGCAAAAGAACAAAACTAGATCACTTTCTATACCATACACAAAAATAAACTCAAAATGGATTAAAGACCTAAATATGAGACCTGAAACCATAAAAATCCTAAAAGAGAGCACAAGCAGTATCAGCCCACAGCAACTTTTCTAGATATGTCTCCTAAGGCAAGGAAAACAAAAGCAAATAACTATAAATAAATAATAACTAAAATACTATTGGGACTATATCAAAACTAAAAGCTTCTGCTTAGCAAAGGAAACAACCAACAAAACTAAAAGATAACCTATTGAATGGGAGAAGATATTTGCAAATGATATGCCTAGTAACAGGTTAGTATCCAAAGTGCATAAAGAACTTACACAACTCAACACCAAAAAAATTCCAAGTAAAAAATGGGCATAGGATATGAACAGACATTTCTCCAAAGAAAACATACAGATGGCTAACAAACATAAAAAGTGTTCAACATCACTCATCATCAGGGAAATGCAAATCAAAACCACAATGCAGTATCACCTCAGACCTGTCGGAATGGCTAAATTTAAGAACACAGGAAACAACGGATATTGGCAAGGATGTGGAGAAAAAGGAAAAAGGAGAAAAAAATGCAAACTGTACAGCCACTGTGGAAAACAGTACGGAGGTTCCTCAAAAAAGTTAAAACAGAATTGCCATGTGATCCAGTAGTTCAACTACTGGGTATTTACCCAAAGAAAATGAAAACATTAATTTGAAAAGATACATGCACCACTATGTCTACCACAGCATTATTTACAATAACCAAGATACGAAGCAACCCAAGTGTTCATCCACAGATGAATGGATAAATAAGATGTGGTATATATGTACAATGGAATATTAAGTCAGTCATAAAAAGAACGAAACATTGCCACTTGCAGCAACACAGATGGATCTAAAGGGTATAATGTTAAATGAAATATATCAAAGAAATGTAAATATCATGATTTTACTCAAATGTAGAATTTAAGAAACAAAACAAAGAAATAAAGAGACAAAAAAAGACTCTTAAATATGGAAAACAATAGGTGGTTGCCAGAGGGAGAAGAGTGGGTAGATGGGTGAAATAGATGAAGGGGATTAAGAATACACTTATCATGATAAACAACGAATAATATATAGATTTGTTCAATCACTATAGACCTGAAACTGATATAATATTTTATGCTAATTATACTGGAATTAAAAAAAAAATAGACCAAAGACCTAAATATAAGAGCTAAAACTATAAAGGTCTTAGAAGAAAACATATGGGGCGTCTGGGTGGCTCAGTTGATTAAGCAACTGTCTTCAGCTCAGGTCATGATCCCGGGGTCCTCCTATTGAGTCCTGTGTCCCTGCTCAGCGGAAAGCCTGCTTCTCCCTCTCCCTTTGCCTGCTACTCCCCCTCTTGTGTTCTCTCTCTCTCCCTCTTTCTGTTGAATAAATAAATAAAACCTTAAAAAAAGAGAGAAGAAAATATAGGTATAAACCTTCATGATCTTGGATTAAGCAATGGTTTCTTAGATATGATATCACAAGCACAAGCAACCTGGGGTGCCTAGGTGGCTCAGTTGGTTAAGCATCCAACTCTTGATTTTGGCTCAGGTCATGATCTCAGGGTCATGAGATCGAGCCTAGTGCAGAGCCCACTTAAGATTCTTTCTCTCCCTCCCCCTGCACACTCTCTCCCTAAAAAACCAAAACCAAAACAAAACAAAAAAACCACACAAGCAACCTAAGAAAAAACAGATAAAATGGATTTCAACAAAATCAAAAAAACTTTTTTGCTTCAAAGGATGTTATTAAGAAAATGAAAAAAAGCCCAAAATGGAAGAAAATTGAAAACTATGTATTCAGTAAGGGTCTAGTCCCCAAAATATATAAAGTACTCTTACAACTCAATGATTAAAAAGGCAAATTACCCAATTTAAAAATGGGAGAAGGATCTGAACAGACATTTCTTCCATGAAGATTACAAATGGGCAATAAGCACATGAAAAATGTTCAACATCACTGGTCACTAGGGAAATATAAATCAGAACCACAATGAGATATCACTTCATATCCAGCAAGATGGCTATAATCTAAAAGAAGGACAATCACCAGTACTGGCAAGGATATCAAGAAAATTACTTTTGAAAAAACTTTTCACTTTTGAAAATTTTGAAAAATTTTGAAATTTTGAAAAAATTTGCCACTTTGAAAAACAGTCTGGTAGCTCCTCAAAAGGTAAAATGCAAAACAAAACTTTTTTTAACTTAAAAAAATGTTAAATGCAGAATTACCATGTGACCTAGCAATTCCACTTCTAATAAATATATATCTGAAATAACTGAAAACATATATCCACACAAAAACTTGCACACCGGGGCGCCTGGGTGGCTCAGTGGGTTAAGCCGCTGCCTTCGGCTCAGGTCATGATCTCAGGGTCCTGGGATCGAGTCCCGCATCGGGCTCTTTGCTCAGCAGGGAGCCTGCTTCCCTCTCTCTCTCTCTGGCTGCCTTTCTGTCTACTTGTGATCTCTGTCAAAAAAAAAAAAAAAAAAAAAAAAAAAAAAAAAAAAAAAAAAAAAAACTTGCACACCAATGTTCACAGAAGCATTATGCATAAAAGCCAAAGAGTGGAAACAACCCAAAGTCCATTAATTGGTAAATGAATAAACCAAATTGGTATATCTATGTAATGGAATATTATTTAGCCTAAGTCAAAGACGCCAGACATAAAAGGTCATTGCTATGAAATGTCCAGAACAGGCAAATCCACGAGACAGAGAGTAGTTTAGTAGTTGTCAGAGGCAAGGTGGAAGGAGTAATGAGTAATGAGGAGGGAGAGCTAATGGGCATGAGGTTTCTCTTTGGGGTGATGAAAATGTTCTGTAATTAGATAATGGTGATAGCCTCACAATTTTGTAAGTGTACTTAAAACAATTAACTTACATACTTTAAAATGGTTAATTTTATGGCATATGAATTAAATCTTTAAAAAAATATATTCATCTACATAGCCACAATACTACCAACAAAACCAGGATATTAACACTGATTTACTACTACCATATAATCCTCAGACTTCATTTAAGTTTTTCTAAGCATCCCAATAATACCATAAATGTAAGCATACACACACACACACAACCATCCAGTCCAAAATCACACATTCTATTTAGTTGTCATGTCTTTTTGGTCTCCTTCAATCTTAAACAGTTCTCTAGTATTTTATTATTTATTATAAATATGTGTTGAATATCAGAATCATTCCTAAGAATTCCTATACATTTAAATAACTATAATTAATAATTCACACATCCTTCTGGAATAGCACTGTCCAATTAGTAACTACCAGCTTTATATGGCTACTGAGCAACTGGAAATAAACCTAATTTAAATTGAGATATACACCTTATTTCAAGACATGAAACATTTCAGTAATAAATTTTTATACTGATTACATGTTGAAATAATATTTGAATATACTGGGTTAAATAAAATATATTATTACAATTAATTTCACCTATTTCTTTTCAACATGGCCTTCCTTAATGTGGTTACCAAAAAATTTTAAATTACATATATACTGGACAGTGGTGTTCTATGAGTTTCTGGGTTAGCAATAGGGAATAAAGAGGTCAAAAGACTGAGAACTAGATATGTATGGCCTCCAAGAGTAAGGACAGTAAATAAAAATCCTTGCATAGCTCTAAAACTTTGCTAGCTAAAGGAACCATCCATTCAAATGGATGCCATAAAAGAGACACGAGGAAATACAGGCATCAAAGAATATATTATCTTAGTGAACTTTCTTTTTAAATGTCTCCAGGGGGTCCCTACTCCCTAATCCTGTGCTAACATTATACATATGTTTGCACAGAGGAGGTCAAAAGCTATAGTGCTCTCACTTGTTTTCTCCATGGGCAACTAACTTATTTGCTCCCTCTTTATTCCACTTAGTCAATTTCAATCCTCTGGCCTCAAGTAAAAGCTCCAGAGATGTAATCCCTTTTTTCCCTTCAGTCTCTTATCTCAATAGCACCCTCTGGTAATGTAATGTTTCCTCAAATCCTAAGTGTCTCTGGATGAAGAGAAATAACCATTTAGTTAATTTTGTCATTACTGACCTGCATTTCATATTTCAGAGTCATGTGGAAGCACCAGGATCCCATTCCTACCACTGAAATTAAAACAAACAAATAAAAAAAAGACGATTAGCATAAAATTCTTTGGGGCTGGCCAGAGTTATGTGAGAAGATAGTAAGACAATGCAAAGCACTGTATTTTAAGAACAAAGTTTATAAAATCTATGGCAGGATACAGCAGACTCTGAGTAAGTTCTATAATTGATGAAATTTTGGTATAGGAAAAAAAAACAAGTACAGTATAAATTCTCATAAATTCCCTCCACTAAGTGGATTCACTGGATTAAACAGCATTTTCCATTCTTTCTGTAAAATATACTACCTGATACTCAGGATAAGCTTTTTTTAATTTTAACAGAGACAGAAGTTTGTTGACTACACTGCAAGGGAGTGGTGGACAGGACAGCAAAGGAGAGACTGTCTGCCTCTCACGATAAGCTTTACAGCTTCAATATTACAGGATGATGATTATAGCTAGTTAGCTACTCTAGTACTTTTATCCAAATAGCTGAATTGTATATACTTACTAAGAGCCAGACAGTTATGTTTGTTCCCAAACCTGTTAATGCCACTGCATTTAGTTATCAGAAATATGATTGCAAAAAGTGAGTTCTTGTTTCTACAAAAACTATTTAAAATGCTTAAAACAGACTCAATAAAAGAGAGTTGCTAATAAATACTGCTATTGAATTAACTGTGGGTAAGATACCTGTTAGAGAAAAAAATAGTAAAAATCTAAAGATTCCATATTTAGGTCTCCAAGTTCTTCCCAAGTGCCTCTATTTTAAATAAGCTTTCATTTTAGGGTTTTTAAAAACTTCTATTTTTTAATGCAAGAAAAGCTAAGTAAAACTATAATTAGGATCCCAAGACCACGTCATATGTCAAATAATTGTCAAAGATTATACAACTATGTTTTAATAAAATAAAAATTTATGGTAGGTATATACATAATTTTATAATAATTCTGTTTTGAATTTTTAAAAATTAGTGCTCGCTTCGGCAGCACATACACTAAAATTGAATTTTTAAAAATTAGCTAACCAAGTATCGGTCCCTATTACACCTAGCAAAAAGGGGTCCACATTAAGTTCAATTCAACAAACATTTACTGAGTACCTCCTATTTGCCAAATTCAGTTACAGTACAAAGATAAGATCATTTGCCTTAATGAAGCATACAGTCTAATGGAAGAGACAGGCAGAGAAGACGCCAGTAGGTAGAGATATGATAAAGAGATACACAGAGTACCATGGGAACACAGTAGAGGGCACTTATGAAAGACAAAGAAAAAAAACCACGGGAGTTAGCCTTAAGGATATATAAGAGTTGGCCCAATAAACATGGTAAATGGAGGTGTCACCAAATAATTTGTACTCTTACTTTAAAAAAATATTTCAATTAATTAATTAATTAATTATGAGAACATACACATGCAACACCAGTAGGGGGTGGAGCAGAGGAGGAAGAGGGAGAGAATCTCAAGCAGACTCCAAGGTAAGTGTGGAGTCTGGGACAGGCTTGATCCCATCACCCGAATATCATGACCTAAGCCAGAACCAAGAATTGGACACTTAACTGACTGAGCCACCCATGTGTCCCTTGTTACTTTTTTTTTTTTAAAGATTTACTTATTTGAGAGAGAGAGAGAGAGAGAGAGCACAATCAGAAGGGTCAGAGGAAGAGGGAGAAAACCTCAAGACTCCAAGCTGAGCACAGAGTCCAACAGAGGGCCTGATCTCACAACCCTGAGATCATGACCTGAGCAGAAACCAAGAGTGTTCCATTACTCCAGCTTCAAAAAAAAAAAAACAAACACTAAATATATTATCACATTATTTTTGCTGTTTAACATGAGATGACAGAAGTAAACAGTTACTGCACTCATTTTACTAAAGAAATGAGGAAGCAGGGGTAGGTGGCTCAGTCAGTTAAGCATCTGCCTTCAGCTCAGGTCATGATTCCAAGGTCCTGGGATTGAGCCCCACATTGGGCTCACTGCACTTCTCCTTTTCCCTCTGCCCCTGCTTGTGTTCTCTCTCTTGCTCATTCTCCCTCAAATAAATAAAATCTTTAAAAAAAAAAAAAAAAGAAAGAAAGAAAAAGAAAAAAAAGAGGAAGCAGAACGGTTGATGTCTTTTTTCCAAAGGAGATATTAGAAAGTGCAAAGGTGGATAAATTAATGCAAGGGAGGGGGAGCCCACAAACTCTGTGAGTTAAAAGTCACATAATATACTATGAAATAAAAAAAAATTAAAATGCAGTGTAATGACTACTCATTCTGAAAAGTAGACTGGCCACTTAATTGTGTTCTACTCAAGAACTGTTTTGGTACAAACCTTTTCAAATATTCTCTTGTACTTTTTATTATATATCATTAAAAGCCTGACTTTCAGGGTGCCTGGGTGGCTCAGTGGGTTAAAGCCTCTGCCTGCGGCTCAGGTCATGATCCCAGGGTCCTAGGATCGAGCCCCACATCGGGCTCTCTGCTCAGCAGAGAGCATGCTTCCTCCTTTCTCTCTGCCTGCCTCTCTATTTGCGATCTCTATTTGTCAAATAAATAAATAAAATCTTAAAAAAAAAGTATTTATAAAAAAAAAAAGGCTGACTTTCAGAGCTCTCTACAATTTACTTCAACAATCTACTTAAGAATGCAAAGAAATGTAATAGAAGAGCATCATCTTTCTCTACTCAGTGTTTTCTCACTTTAAAGTAAGCCAACGATTTTTGCTAAAATTTATCAGCTTTGGGGCGCCTGGGTGGCTCAGTGGGTTAAGCCGCTGCCTTCGGCTCAGGTCATGATCCCAGGTCCTGGGTTCAAGCCCCACATCGGGCTTTCTGCTCAGCAGGGAGCCTGCTTCCTCCTCTCTCTCTGCCTGCCTCTCTGCCTACTTGTGATTTCTCTCTGTCAAATAAATAAATAAAATCTTTAAAAAAAAATAAAATAAAATAAAAAAATAAAATTTATCAGCTTTATTGAGATAATTCACATACTATAAAATTAATTTAAGGTGTGCAATTCAATTGTTCTTAAATGTTCAGACTGTGCAACCATCATCATTATCTAATTTTAGAACAGTTTCATCATCCCAAAGAGAAATCTCATACCTATTTGTAGTCACTCCCTATTTCTCTTCAAACCTAGACAACCACTAATGTATTTTCTGTCTCTATAGATTTGCCTGTTCTGGACTTTCCATATAAATAGAATCATACAATATGCAATCTTTTCTGTCCGGTTTCTTTCACTCAGCATATTTTCAAGGCTCATTCATATTATAGCATATATCAATAATTACCTTTAGAAGGTAATTGGTGGGGGGGGTGCCTGAGTGGCTCAGATGGTTAGGCATCTGCCTTGGGCTCAGGTCATGATCCCAGGGTCCTGGGATGGAGCCCCACATCATGCTCCCTGCTTGGCAGGGAGTCTGCTTCTACCTCTCTTTCTCCCCATTGTTCCCCCTGCTTGTGCTCTCTCACTCTGTCAAATAAATAAATAAAATCTTTTAAAAAAACAACAACAACAACAACAACGAAGGTAATTAGATTTAGATGAGGTCATGAAGGTGGGGCCCCATGATGGGATGAATGTCCTTAGAAGACCAGGAAAAGATAGGACCACACTCTCAATCTTCCTGCGTGAGTCATGAGAGGCCATGTGAAGACATGGAGAAGGCAGCTGCAAGCCAACATCTCACCAGGAACCAAATCAGCCAGTACCTTAATGCTGGACTTTCCAGACTCCAGAACTGTGGGAGATAAATGACTGTTGTTCAAGCCACCCAAGCTATGGTATTCTGTTATGGCAGCTCAAGCTAGTATAGACATCTAGGTTTTTTCCCACATTTTGACTATTTTGAATAACACTTCTATGAACATTCACATACAAGTTTTTGTGCAAACTTGGTTTCGTATCTCTTGGGCATATATACCTAGGAGTGGAATTTGTGGGTCATATGTTAACTCTGTGTTTAGGATTCTAAAGAAATGCCGAAGTGTTTTTCAAAAGCAGCTGTATCATTTTACACTCCCATGAGCAATATATGAATTCCTCCACATCCTTCCAATACTTGTTATTGGCTGTCTTTCTGATTATAGCCATCTTAATGTATTGAAGTGGTATTCACTGTGGTTCTGATTAGCATTTCCCTAATGATGGCTGCATGCCCCTCTCTTTTTTTCTTGTAGAATGTTCTATATTATAGATTTGCCTATATTTTAATGGTTTTTTGAAAAGCAGTTTTAGGTTCACAGCAAAATTGAGGTACAAATATTTTCCATACAAACCCTACCTCCTCACATGCACAGCCTCCCTCACTATCAAGATCCCTTACCACAATGGTACATTTGTTACAACTGACCCACCTACATTGGTATATCATTATCACCCAAAGTCCACAGCTTACATTTTATGGTTCACTACTGGATATGGACAAATTTATAATGACTTGTATTCACCATTACACAGAATAGTTTCATTACCCTAAATTCTCTTTGCTTTGCCATTTCATCTTTTTTTTTTTTCAAGATTTTATTTATTTATTTGACAGACAGAGATCACAAGTAGGCAGAGAGGCAGGCAGAGAGAGAGGCGGGGGAAGCAGGCTTCCTGCTGAGCAGAGAGCCCAATGCGGGGCTCGATCCCAAGACCCTGGGATCATGACCTGAGCCGAAAGCAGAGGCTTTAACCCACTGAGCCACCCAGGCGCCCCTCCATCTCTCTTTCTATCTGAACCCTGGCAACCACTGATCTTTTTACTGTCTCCATAGTTCTGCCTTTTGCAGAATATTATATATGTGTATATATATACAGTATGTAGCTTTTTCAGTTAGCAATAAGTACTCTTTCTCTTAGTAATAGGCATTTAAGGTTCCTTCTTGTCTTTTCATTGCTTGATACTTCACTTCTTTATAGCACTGAATAAATATTTCATTATCTAAAGGTCCAACAGTTTACCTATTCACTTACCTACTAAGGGACATCTAAGTTGCTTCCAAGCACAGCCTTGTAAATAAAGCTGCTATAAACACCTGA